CTGCAGCTGTTTTTAGTGATACTTCGAGGGACTTGTGAATTTTCAGTTCTTCCAAGGTGCTATGATCAAGGGCAAGGTGTTTACTCCTTTACTGGCCTGTGCTCTGGTCTATGAGTGACCACAAGCACTCTTTTTTGGTCTTGAAACTATGAGGAGGATTCTCTCTCCACAGCCACTACAAGCTCCACCACTACAGTGTTCCTCCTGGCCACAAGAGCACCACCCAGAACTGTGACCCAGATCCAAACATGGGCAAAACAAGAGAATCCTGCACCAGCAAAGAGATCCTTGCAATCCCCCTCTGATCAGTCACTTGATTCCCCCTCAGTCTGTGGGACAGAAGTTCTGGAAGCAGCTGCCGGCCTGGGGCCAGGCTCTGGGACTGGAGTTGGGACAGCGACCACACTTCTCTCTCACCACCACAGACACAGACTTTTCCCATTGACCTTCTAAGTTGTCATTGGTGTTCATGGGTTGAGAAGTCTGGAAACTGCTACAACTGTGATGCTTCCATGCTCAAAGGCCTGCTCCAGGTTCACTGAAGCCTGCATGCCCACACCAAACTGCACTCCTCTCCCCGCCCGGCATGATATACCTTTCAGATGAACCATCCAGGTTGTCTTGGGCTGAAAATTTCTTTCACTCTGTCTTTTTGTGAGTTCTGTTGCTTTAGGATTTGCTCAGTCATTTTTGTAGGTATTTGGAGGAGTTTGGGGGAGAGCTCAAGCAAGTCATTGATTTTACTCTGTCTTCTTGGCAAGCTTCATCCTAGGGGGTCATGGAATATTTTAAGAAAGTCAGGAGAAACCTTGGGATTTCAGAGCAAAATTCAACCCATTTTTAGGGTTTTGTGCACAATATGACATTTCTGGTGTCTCATGAGGCTGTGCTGCAGGGAGATGTCAGACCTCATTACTTAGATCCATAAGTTTTATCTATATATTTTATATATGTACCCACACATATGACCTTCCCACAATTACTGCTTTTATAAGGCTTCCTTCCAGTTTAGTGACCTGCATCTTTCAAGAAAAGGTAGGACCTCATTGAGCACATTCATGTCTTCTCTCCATGAAGATTCCTTGATGCAAAGGAAGAGATGATCTCTGGCTACAGACCTTTGCAAATGAGTGCAGATAGGAGTTGTTCACAAGGTGAAATTTCTGATGTCTAACAAGCTGTATAGTCCATCTGAATGTCTTTTCACACTCATTATGGGGAATATGGTTTCTATCCCACGTGAATTCTGATGGGAAATGAGGGATGACTTTAAACTGAACAATTTCCATGTTGATTACATTAATGAGGTATGTCCTCTAGAATAGATTCTCTGATGTGAGACAAATGGTTATTTCTCTCAAATCAATAACCAATTATTGAATTAGAACTAAGCTTTTCCCCCCTTTCTATTTCCTCATTCAGGAATCAGACATGAGGTGATTCAGACAATCTTTGAAGGGCAGGGCTGATGATGAGATGAAATCTTGGGAAAGACTTAGCCAACTGGGAAAGTTTAGATATAACCAAAAGATAAAGAGATTTTAGTCTAGGTGAAGTGGATGCCCTCTTTTGTCTAGATTGCTTTAGGCAAGGGTGCTGTGGATAGAGCTAAGTCTCTTGGTCCATAATTGAGTGATGAGTAATGTCCCCCAGCCCCTCATTAGAATAAGTCCACCTCTTGGTCAAAGGATATGAATAGGCAGTTCTCAGATGAAGAAATTAAAGCCATCTATAGTCATATGAAAAAATGCTCTAAATCACTATTGATTAGAGAAATGCAAATCAAAACAACTCTGAGGTACCACATCACATCTATCAGATTGGCCAACATGACAAAACAGGAAAATGGTAAATGTTGGAGAAGATGTGGGAAAATTGGAACACTAATGCATTGTTGGTGGAGTTGTGAAATGACCCAATCATTTTGGAGAGCAATTTGGAACTATGCCCAAAGGGTTATCAAAATGTGCATACCCTTTGACCCAGCAAGAGGACTTCTAGGGCTATATCCCAAAAAGATCACACAAATGTGAAAAGGACCCACATGTACAAAAATATTTATAGTAGCTCTTTTTGTGGTGGCAAAGAGTTGGAAATTGAGAGGATGCCCAACAATTGGGGAATGTCTCAACAAGTTGTGGTATATGAATGTAATGGAACAGGCTGATTTCAGAAAAACCTGGAAAGACTTGTATGCTCTGATGCTGAGTGAAATGAGCAGAACCAGGAGAACATTGTACACAGCCACATTGTGTAATGACGAATATTGATAGACTTGACCCTTCTCAGCAATACAAGGATCTAAGATATCCCCAAGGGCCTCATGATGAAAAATGCTGTCCACATCCAAAGAAAGAACCATGGAGTTTGAATGCAGATTGAAGCATACTATTTGCTATTTTTTCTTCTGTTGTGTTTTGTTCCCTCTTTCTAGTGGTTCCTTCTATTGGTTCTAATTCTTATTTACTACATCACTAATGTGAAAATATGTTTAATAACAATGTATATGTATAGCCTATATCAGATTATGTGCCTTCTTGGAGAGGGACCTAGAGAGGGAGGGGGAGAAGAATTTAAAACTCAAAAGCTTATGGAAGTGATTGTTGATAATTCAAAATAAGTTAATTTGAAAAAAGGACAAGTCCACCTCATATTATAATATTCAGTCTCATTAATTTTTAATCAGAGTTGATTTATTCCACTTGGTAATACCCACTTCTCTACGGGCATATAAGTGATGATATGCCTCCATGATTCATCTTCGATTTACAAGAGATAGCTAAATGACCATCCTTTTATTAATTATTCATTAGCCATAATTAATGAAATGATTGTGCAGAAATTATGTCTCTTGGCCTTTTCTTTCATCAGATTTCTATAGTAAGGTGAGAGTGTACATAAAAAAGTTTTATCACATTAGTTTTCTCTCAAGTATGGACTCTCTGATGTACAGCAAGTTGGGAGTTTAGTCTGAAAGGCTTTTCACATTGATTACATTCATAAGGTTTCTCCCCAGCGTGGATTCTCTGATGTACAGAATAATTAGAGATACTTCTAAAAGTCTTTTGACAATGATTACATTTATAAGGTTTCTCTCCAGTGTGGATTCTCAGATGTTGAGCAAGTTTGGAGTTCTGTCTGAAAGTCTTTCCACATTGATTACATTCATAGTGTTTCTCCCCAGTGTGAATTCTCTGACATAGAGCAAACTGGGAGTTTAGTCTGAAAGCCTTTACACATTGATCAAATTGATAAGGTTTCTCTCCAGTGTGAATTCTCTGATGTGCAGCAAGAGTGGAGCTCTGAGTGAAAGCTTTTCCACATTTATCACATTCATAAGGTTTCTCCCCAGTGTGAATTCTCTGATGTGCAGCAAGAAATGAGCTCTGTGTGAAAGCCTTTCCACATTGATCACATTGATAAGGTTTCTCTCCAGTGTGAATTTTCTGATGTTCAGCAAGTTTGGAGTTCACTCTGAAAGCCTTTCCACATTGATGACATTCATAAGGTTTCTCTCCAGTGTGGATTCTCTGATGTTCAACAAGTTTGGAGTTCACTCTGAAAGCCTTTCCACATTGATGACATTCATAAGGTTTCTCTCCAGTGTGGATTCTCTGATGTTCAGCAAGTTTGGAGTTCACTCTGAAAGCCTTTCCACATTGATTACATTCATAAGGTTTCTCTCCACTGTGGATTCTCTGATGTGCACCAAGAAATGAGCTGTGTGTGAAAGCTTTTCCACATTGATCACATTGATAAGGTTTCTCTCCACTATGAATACTCTGATGTAAAGCAAGTTGGGAGTTTAGTCTGAAAGCCTTTCCACAGTGATTACATTCATAAGGTTTCTCCCCAGTGTGGATTCTCTGATGTTGAGCAAGTTGGGAGTTTTGTCTGAAAGCTTTTCCACAATGATTACATTCATAAGGTTTCTCCCCAGTGTGGATTCTCTGATGTACAGAACGATCAGAGGTACTTCTAAAAGCCTTTCCACAATGATTACATTCATAAGGTTTCTCCCCAGTGTGGATTCTCTGATGTGCAGCAAGAAATGAGCTCTTTGTGAAAGCCTTTCCACATTGATCACATTGATAAGGTTTCTCTCCAGTGTGAATTCTCTGGTGTGCAGCAAGACTGGACCTAGAACAGAGGGCCTTTCCACATTGATTACATTCATAAGGTTTCTCTCCAGTGTGGATTCTCTGATGTTGAGCAAGTCTGGAGTTCAGTCTGAAAGCCTTTCCACATTGATCACATTCATAAGGTTTCTCTCCAGTGTGGATTCTCTGATGTTGAGCAAGTTTGGCATTCTCTCTGAAAGCTTTTCCACATTGATTACATTCATAGGGTTTCACCCCAGTGTGGATTCTCTGATGTTGAGAAAGTTTAGAATTCACTCTGAAAGCCTTTCCACATTGATTACATTTATAGGGTTTCTCCCCAGTGTGGATTCTCTGATGTGCAACAAGAAATGAGCTCTGTGTAAAAGCCTTTCCACATTGATCACATTGATAAGGTTTCTTCCCAGTGTGGATTCTCTTATGTGCAGCAAGAAATGAGCTCTGTGTAAAAGTCTTTCCACATTGGTCACATTGATAAGGTTTCTCCCCAGTGTGAATTCTCTGATGCAGAGCAAGTTCAGAGTTTA